ATCGTTTACTCTCCCCCCTCCCCAAACACACAAAACATACATTCCCTGCATTTTCAATCCAGAGGGTTGGAGGGGTGAAGCCTCCCTCCCCCCCCGCCGCGACGACACTCCAACCCGTTGCCGGCCCTTACCTTGGAACCGGTGGCCCAGGTAGCGGTATCTGTGGATGAGCCAGGGGTAGAAGGTGGAGGGGTCCCGTTGCTGGGAGGCGAAGAGCGGGTGCGGGGAGTGGGAGGAAGGGAGCGGGTGGGCCGCCAGGGCGTGAGGCGGGGGCACCGGATGGACGGGCACCGCGGCCGGGTTCGGCGGGTGCGAGACGGCCTCGGCGAAGACCAAGTCCGGGTTGGAGTAGACCCCTCGGCCGCCGGCGGAGTGGAAACCGTTGAGAAAAGGGTTCATGGGGCTGGAGTTGGCATAGCTCAGCGCCGCCGGCCGGATGGGATCCTCGGCGGCGCGGGAGGCGGGCAAGGCCGGGCTGTCTTTGGCGACCAGCGACTCGATGGTGAAGCAGCGCTTGGGGGTGGGCTGGAACATCCCGGCGGCCGGGCGCCCGGCGATCCGGGCTCCTGGCTCCTCCCGCCGCCGCCGCCGCCGCCGCCTTCTGCCTAATCGGCGTCCTGAAAGTCCTGGAAAGATGATCGGGGCGCTCGGGGCCCCCGTCCGCCCCTAGATCCAGAGCCTGGCAAGCGGGCAGCTCCCGGCGAGTCCGCCTCCTCCTCCTCGGCAGCCCACATGAAGCGCCGAGCGCCCGGAAGGGAGACGCGCTCGGCAGCCGCTCCTGCGCCGCCCGCTCCCTCACTTCATCGGCCGAAGGGAAAAAGTTGCTGGGCGCAGAAGTTCTGCCTTTTTGATCCCCCCTCCCTCTCCTTCCCCACTCTCCCTCGCTCGCACACGGTCTCTCTCTCTCTCTCTCTCTCTCTCTCTCTCTCTCTTGCCCCCCCAGCCCACCCCCGTTGCCCTCTCTCTCCCTTTCGCGCAGCGCCCAAGGCGGCCCCTACTAGGTCCAGCGGCAAGCCATGGAGGAGAGGCTGAGGCGGAGGCGCGGTAGCGGCGGCGGCCAGCGATCGGGTCCCTTTGCCCAAAGTGGTGCCAACGATTTGTTAGTTCATGAGCCTAATTAGTGCGGAGGATCACATAAACAGCTTCCTCTGAAGCCTGGTAAATGGCTTGATGATTGGTCGCTATTACTCGCCTTGAGGTTGAAGGGGGGGGGGAGAGGGAAGAGAGACTCTTTAAAGTGCGTCAGAAGGGAGAGGCGAACTTCTGGCCGACGCGATCCTGGAGGGATGGATCCGGACCCGGACTGGAACGGACTGTCTCCGCCTCGCCAGACGACAAGAATGCGCGCGCGGTGAGACGGGGCGCGGGAAGGGGGGGCGCTGAGCGAGAGCGAGAAAGAGAAAACTCCCAGGAAGAGGGAGAGAAGAGGGAGCAGCGACAGGCAGGTCCCGAGTCGAGTCTCTTCCCGGAGTCAGGTAGGACCGCGTGGGCAGCTTCCCTGCTGGGACCGAGCGAGAGACTCGTTCTTGGGGTGGAGTAATTTTTTTTAAAAAAAAGAGAGAGAGAGAGAAAAGAATGCACAGGCGCGCGCGCACAAAACACTCGCGACGACGCCCGAGGGGAGGATGGCCTGAGCGCGCAGAGAAATCTGGCTGTTCCTCCCGCGCCCCCACCCCCTCCGGAGAACTCGGCTCCAGAATTAAGGGAAAAGCTTTCGCCTCCCTCCAACCGGTGGGACGCAGGAAGGGGACGGGGAGCGTCCGCCGCGCTTCTCTGGAAGCTCCAAGTCCGGTCCTTCTTGCTGGTTTGGAGGCGCCCAAATGCTCTCCAGCCGGGGGTCACTTTCCCTTTCTAAAGGTCATCCGGGAGGAGGAGGAGGAGGAGGCGGCTGCGGGGAGGCCGCCTTCCACTCCATTAGGGCTCTCGGAGGAGTTGGTGGAGGAAACCTCAGGAGTTTTCTCTGTCGGAGACGTCCAGCCCAGCCAAAAGAAAAACTTGAGGCAGCAGGGAGGTTTCGACGCTGTTTTGGCTTCTTCTGGCCAGTGTCCTGGGAGGAAGGCTGGACAGAGGCAATGAGTAGTAGACAAAGCTGGAGCCAGCCGGCCTGGGTGACTTTGGCGAAGGGACAGGCGAGTCCTGTGAGAATCCGGCCTTGTCCACGTTTTCGGGATTGCCGCGGCGTTTCGGGAAGGATTTTTTAGGGCCGAGTCCTGACGCTCCCATTGGCTGCCGTGACGGAATAATTATGATCACATCCTAGTACTGCTGGCTGCTGCTTAATGTTTATTGGTAGTTAAGGATCTATTATCTATTCATCAACCTCCTATTTTTACCAATTACACTCTGCTAAAGTGAAGTACCAGCAGGTATTTTTTTTCCACTTTTACAATTAATGATTAAAAAAAAATATCTGGCGCATTTAAAATCTATTACGCGGTGTGATTTGTTTTTGAAAGGTGCAGGATTGCTCCTGGAGATGCGTATTTGTGTGGCGCAAGGAAATGAGGCTTGTTTCAAAACACTCCAACTTCCCTTTTCCCGGTTTTTCCATTCTTCTCACCTCTGCCCCTTTCCTGTAATTAGTGAAATACGAATATAATTCTTATTCCAGTATCTTGGCTATTAAGCCTGAGTTTTTCGTGGAAATGGCTTGATTCCTCCGCCTTGTAAGAAAAAGAAAATTGTACTAAAACCTCTGAGAACAAAGAATTTCTTATTCCATGGAACACAGAGCAGAATCCAGCCGCTCAATGAATTGCCTCGCAGTTCTGTGTATATGGCGTGAGTGCGTGCCCGTGCGCATATATATATTTATATGTGCGCATTTGAAGAACATACAAAATGCAGGGTGGTGTTTTTCTTCCAGCACTATAAGCATATACATCTGTAGGTATACTAGATATAATATATATTCATACGTGGCACTTCTATATGCTGCTCGCAACAAAAAGTACATGCTGTCTGCTATAAAAAGACATTTAAACCCTACAAGAATGGTACAAATATGGTATCTGTTTCTCTCTCAAATTTCATGTTGGTGCGAGTGTGCGGATGGATTAGGTACGCTTTCAGCTGTGTACATGCAAGGCGACAGTGCGGCCGGGAGGGGGGCACGCGCATGAGAAACAGAGCCTTCACGTTTTGCGTTTCTTCTTGCGTTTCGTACTCTTGGGTTATGATTACGAGTAGTATTAGCTTCTCCATATCCTCCAACGCAAACTCCAACATGTTCTCCTCCTGCTCCTCCTCCCCGGCACAAAAGTATGATGCGAATACTGTATCTAATTTTGCTCTTACTTTAGTATTTAATTTAACGGGAAATTATTGAAAACAAAACCGACAACGCCTTAATACCTTTCCAGCGAAACCCTCCTCTGTCTTCACTAAACGAACTGAATCTTTCAAGTCTGCCGCAGGATTAGCCTGCACATTTCCCTTTTCTGGTACACAGGCCCATTTTGAAAGGTAAATAGGAAATAAGGTGGGGGTGGGGGTGGGGAGAAATGGGCTCCAAGTGTAGCAGTGTGGCAGTGCCACGCTATCCATTAGTTAGGTACTCTGGAGGCCATGCCTCAGCTGGAGAATGTTCCCGAAAGCCAAATATTTCGGCCTCATTGGACGGTGGATGATGGCAAGAAAGGATTTTAAAAGAACAGTTTTAGACCTTCTCCGTTTCCTTAACACGGTTGGACTTGGGAAGCGAGGATCCCCCCCGGCTGATTTCAGTGGAGCTCTACTCCGCCATCAGGGTGAATCGGGGCCATTTATCTTCTCCTTCCACATTTGGAAGCGAGTTTCACTGAAATCGGAGGAATGTGCAAAGGCAAAGAGATGGGAAGGCCACACATCTAAGCATACTTTTCCTACACAGATTCGCCTTCGCAATCAGTGGGCTTTTATTTATTATTTTTGATTGCAAGCGAATAACCCCATTTTAGGACGATCCGGCCGCTCATTTAGAATGTGGCCCTGATTTTGTCGTGAAAGTTCGGAATTGCTGCGGGATGAGTGAGAAATCTAAACTGAAGCTCCCGAAGAGGAATAGGGAGAGAAGAGCGGCAACATAACATCTTCTCTCTCTTTTAACACAGCTTTTAAAATGCAGCTTTTGCCAAAGAAAGAAATGCCAGTGTTTAAATGGCTACCGTCGGGGGATCGCAACCCGCCCCGTGTAGTAAGGCGCCTGCACCGAGTTTCTTGAAGTTGCTTCTCTAGAGAGGTGTGTGTAGACTTTATGAATGGCGACCTGCTATCCGTGCTCTTCCTATTTCAAAATCGCCCACCGGATCGGAGAGTGGGAGGCTAGCTGAGAAGCTAAGACACCCCGCCTCCCTTCTTCCGCCGAAATCCAGCGCTCTTTCCCTGCTCTTTCCTTGGGCTTGGCGGCGGAATCGCCTCTTTCAGCCAGCTCTTAGGCGCACGGAGTTGAAAGTCACGGTCATTCCTCTGCCTTTTAAACCCGAGCAGGGCCGAAAGGGGCAAAAACAATAAATCCCTAAGAGCCTCGTTTGGTTTCGGCGCGGATCCCCTCCTCCTTGCAATTTCTGGGAAGGCGCTCTTTCCTGCTGGATCGCGGTTGCTCGAAACTGCTGTTAATCAGCGGTTTCCTTCCCGATTTTCTCCCTACATCTGAGTGGGCTTTGGAAGCTTTCCCCGGCTTAAGGAAACTGTTGCTGAGACTTTTCTGCCTGGGGAACTATCATCCCAACCCGACAGCTGCTGTTTCGAGGCGTTCAGAGAGACACGAGCGCATTTTACGGAAGCGTTTCCTCAGGAAATCCTAAACACTGGTGGATTCCAGAAAGGGGTGGGGGAGATGATCTTTTGCTGGGCAACCAGATCCTTTTTCTAAAGCAGGAGGAAAGGGGAATGGAGGACGGCTCTGCTTAGTCCCGAAGTGTGGCAGTTGCCAAGCCTTGCCTTGTTAAGGTCTGTTTGTTAAGGTCTGGTTTTGGTTTTTTTTTGGTGGGGGGGTATGGAACTCTGTCCTAAGTTTTCTGTACTTCCGGGCTCACCCCAGCGGTCTGCCTCCCAGGCTGCTAATTCGACTTTCGTTTAGTGGCGTTCACACACATAGACGTGCACGCAGAGAGAGTAAACAATCCACACACACACTTGTCGTCGGAGTTATCCCCTCCAAGGCAGACGGCGCGTCCGAGTGGATCTGGATTGCGCCTCTAAGAAGGGGGAAGAAAACCTGAGGTTTCCGGTTGAGTGGAAACCGAAAGGCTAATTAAGTGGCTCGGAAAGCACAGGCCACCTCCGAATGCTTGGCAAATAGATTCAGGCGTGATCTGAGCCCGCCACCCCCTCCCGCGTGTGGAAAGCCTCTTCTCTGGCCTAAGCGACTCAGAAAGACGGGCCTTGTTCGTCTGCCGTGGCGGACTAAGATCCATCGCTCTGAGATGCAAAAGTTAAGCCGGGCCCGGCCCACGAAAGAAACAGGCCTACGGATCAAGGGAGGGTGGTGCCATAGAGGGTGAAAACCCCAGCGGTGGCAGCACGACCACCCTCTCCTGCTGACCCCAAAGCTCTTGGCCTGTTCCTCCTCCTCCTCCTCCTGGCAATAGAGGAGGTGGCTGAGAGCCCAGGGCTTTGCCTCAGGGCACCAAAATTTAGAGAGTGCCAAAATCTAGTGGTAAACCTGCTGGTGAGTGTTAGCAAGACAAATAGCAGCCCCTTCCAACCCTGTTTATCCCCCTCCTTTAGCGGAATGCATTATAATTCTTTTTCTTTTGGGGCGGCACCACCTCCATCTTTTCCCCCACAAGGGGCTTGTGCCCAAGCTTTAGAGTTGAATGGGTGGGAGATGCTGCCACTTGCCCTGTGCCAAAGATGGTGGCACTAGTTATAATGCTGTAGAGACCTTTCCTGGAGTAAATCAGCTCTCAGTCTTTGGGATTCCCCCCTCCCA